TTAAAGGATAAACATCAACTAAAATGCCATGCTCTTCAAATTGGTTAACATCACGTTTGATATCATTAATAGTTGTTTTCAATGAAAAAATATCATCATTTGTAACTTCTTGTTCTTGTATAAGTTCGTTTATTTTTAATTTCAATTGATGAATTTTTTTTCGTTTGTGATTAACTTGTTGAATACAACATTGTTGAAGTTCTTGACAGTTTTCTTCATAAAAACGATCGAGTACCATATGACAATCATGACGCCATTTATCTGATTTTTGACGACATTTACCAATAACTTCATCAACATTTAATACTGACAATTGGTTATCAAGAGTATTAATCTCATCCACAAGAGAATTTACTTGAGAATTGATTAAATCATCATGTTCTTTCAAATGATCAGAACAAAGATTCTTGTTCCAACAATGACATAATACTCGTGATTTACATTTGCATGTTTCCATGGCACATGGTGGAGGCATTATTTGATCAAAATAATGATTTCATTTTATCAGCACTTATGAATATATATAATGTTCCACGTAAGCGAAAAATAAGTGAAGATGTTCGACATGACTAGTCGGATACGCACGTTACCCGTCAGGTCAAGTGTGAAATGTTATGCGTATCCATTAGGATTGATCATCTTTATGAGAGATATCCTTCAACTACGTTTGATTAGCAAACGAGTTTCTCAAGTCATTGAAAAAATCTGCTGTAACTTTTTTTCACGTAAAGAGAAGTATGACTGCGAATTAAACGTGATTTAATTAAGAAATATTTGGCTACAAATTGACATATTTGATCAAATTTCTTCTGCGTTATATAAACTGCATTACTTGTCTAAAATCAATGACTTGATTTGCCCTCCAAGCTCTTGCTTTAATACAATCAATATCATGTCTTGAAAAGCAAAAAAAAACCAACTAAATATGTCTATTTGTAGCATAAACATTTTTGAACTTGTGAACATTTGAATAAAAATGATACTTTTTATGTGCGAAAAATTATTCAAAATTTTTGTAATGACTTGCGAAAATGTCAATCCTAGTCTAGACTAGTGTAAAATCTTTAAACGAATCATTTTGTTTCGACTGGTCCATATTTAAACCAAAAAGAAGTAGAACATAATATAAAGAATTTTTGAGCATCTATTTTACAACAACTGGACAATAAACAGATATGCCATAAGAATATGGATTGAATAGTAGAATAACAATTATTTCGCTATTGTTTTAACTAAGAATCAACTGGTATTAAAGAGACAAATTAAGATAGACACTTAACAATTGTGCGAATCTTTGAGACTCACATTTATTGAAGATCAATCTTCAAAAATATACAGCATTATGAGAAATCACATGTTTTCTCTTCATAATTGCCAATTAAATGTGATCTATTGCGTCACAATTATGAAAATAGTAACAACTATTAAATTAAAAATTAAGGATAAATGTCAAGAGTTGATATCATATTTTACAAATCCATGTTTTTAGTTAATTGAACGTATTGTCTTCACATTTTTGTAATTTTGTCTATCTCATATCAAAAGATGTAGTGAATGTCTCTTCGATGAGGCAGATTCGATAGTCATTTCTGTTGAAGAACGAAGGCAATGTGTACTGATAGTAATAGTAAAAAATACTTTTTTCGTTTTTTTTTGTAAATTACATTACCTCAAGATGTTTCTTTTTCTTCAATATAAGTTACAAGTATTATGATAGAAATGAAAGAAGAAACCCATCTGACGACTCAGCTATTCGCCATATACGACATTTTGTCATCGTTACAAAATATCAAGTTTTTTTCTTCTTTCTTTTCACGTCATACACATACTCTATTACTTTCAAAAGAGAAGAAATGAAGTTCGAGCTGTTGGCTAACGAGCTCGTGCTCGAACTTTTCGAGTTTCTCGATGGTATTCATCTTCTTTGTGCTTTTCATGGCCTCAACAGTCGCTTTGATACATTGCTCTTCGTTCATTTCCAACATTATCGATTAAATTTTCGATCCATATCTAAATGTAACTTCGATCTCGTACTTCAACAATATTTACCACTGATTATTGATCGAGTTATTTCACTTTATCTTTCCGATGATGATGAAACTCCAAATCTTGTGAATCATTTTCTTGTCTACGGTTTCACACTTGTTCAATTCACTCATTTACAATCACTATCACTTTTTCACATCGATTCTATTGAAAAAATCAATACGATCTTGAACAAATCTTCGTATTCAAGTCAATTAACACATTTGACTTTGATTAATTGTTGTGCTATGCGTACCAATGGTTTGATCGACTTAATTTGCAACAGCTGGCATTTACCTAAACTAAAATATTGTGATCTCGGTTGTGATATTGTCCATCATTCCATATTCTCAAAATTGACAACAATCTCCTGTTCAATCAAATTTGTTTCGGTACCATATTTCCGATTTTATTTGAAAGATTTGATGAATCTATTCAAACACACACCTCGACTTCATTATCTTCATGTGACACTTTTCTCCATTCTCGAATATTTTCTTAAATGGACATGAATAGCAGCAAATCTTTGTTGATTATCTACCTCGAATTGAAATATTTCGATTAAACATAGAATTCAAATTTTTCGATGAAAATAGAAGAGAAGAACAAATCGACGAATTATTAGAAACATTTCGAACTTCGTTTTAGCTCAAAGAACATCGTTGGTTTTTTCGATGTGAATGGAATTTATGTGTTGAAAATAATTCGATTTTACTTTATACATTACCCTATTATTTAGACCGATTTTGCATTCGAGATCAAAGTAGATGATACAAATCAACTGGTCCGGATGATCCTGTGTATTGGTTATATAATTTTGTGTGTAATATTAGCTTAGAAGACGATATTAATAATTGGTGCTTATTCCCGATTCGCTTCTCAAACCTTCGTTGCCTACATATTTATCTTTCTACACATCAAAATATCTACTCGTTTATTCTGACACTCGATAATCTAACATCTCTGACAGTAGTTATGAATGATAGCAGTGCTGAATCTGAATTTCAAATCTTAATTAATCGAGCACCTCATCTCTATTCGTTGGCAATCGATTTATCACCAGATTTATTATCGATACTATGGAAAGTCACGAGCACACCTATTCGTCGATTGGATTTGTTCCATTCGTCGTTTTGGTTTGGTTTATGTCTGAACACTGTACAATGCTCTGAATTGATCAATTCATCATTGGGACGTCAATGTGAAGTTTTCTCGGTTCACGTGGAAGATCGATCGAATATCCTTGATCTTGTCAAGACGAAGTCTAATATTCGAGTGTTAATATGTAAATTGAAAGAAGAAGAAAAGAAGGGTAAGGGCAAAAGAATATCATCATCAGGCAAAGATGAACTTGTTGAATGGTTACGAGATCATTTGCTATCGACGAGTTCTGTTCGTAGAACATTTTATATAAATAACACAATTGAGATTTGGGTTAATCAATAACTCAGCAAGAACAATTTAAATCGCATTATTTCATTTCCTCATAACCAATCAGAGAACTAAGAATATTTGGTTTTCCTCTCCCATTCGACGGGTGACACGACAGTTGAGCTCCCAATATTTGAGCCCCGACAGTTGAGCCCCCACCCCCACAGTTGAGCTCTCGACACTTGAGCCCCTATTAAACAAGAGATTAAAGAGTACATAAAAATTTTTTTTTTTAATAAATTCGGCGAGGTGAATCGTGAAATGTTGTTGTACTATTCCTAATCTTTAATTTAAATTTCGTTGGTCAGTGTTTCTTCCAGATTTGATGCATAAATACGATCTGTGACTTAAACGTATTTTGTACCATCAAAGTACACACGACCTGCACAATTATTTCTACAGCAACACCAGATGGTTTAAGGGTACCCTTCCCCCTTTTCGACGTTTCTTGAGAACGACTCGTCAGAAAAATTTGAACTTTTCATGGCAGATAGATCTTGATGAGTACAGCAAAAGTTGTTATAGACTCAAAAATTTCCGATGCTGTCTTCTATGAGACAATAGGGTTACAATGACGAAAAATGGTCCTAGTTTTTGCCCTCGTTTCTCCAAGGCGGTATTTTCGATTGAGCTGAAAATTTTTTTGCAGGTACTAGACACTGTTTGGGGTGGGTATTTTTTTGGTTTCTTTTTATCGTTTGTCGTTTCAATAAAAAAGTCAAAATACCGAGCCTACCCTCAAAACGCTTGTTTTTATTACTAGCGCAAATTTTGTGAAAGCTGCCAAAAATCACCAGAGCAATATTTCTTGAAAAGAAAAAAAATACCCACCTCAAATACTGAGTAGAATATGTGAAAAAAGTTTCAGTTCGATCCATCTTACCATGTCGGAGAAACATGGGCGAAACAGTACTTTTTCTATTAAAAATTTGATTTTGAGACAAAAGCAAAAAAATATAAAATTTTAGCTATTTTCGCTATGTAAATGTGATTTCTTCTCGAATTTTTTAGTCTTTAAAGGCAATTGTTGGGTTACAAAATATAGTCAGTAGATAGACACTACTCGAAACTATACAATGGGCACAAAACACCGAAAATGAAAAAAACAAAAATTTTGGGCAAGGAAAGAGGGGATACCCTTAAGATTTATTGGCATGGTGGTAACAAAAGCCATCAAGTACAAGTTGATCCTTGTTTTTTGAGGATTTTACGATAGTCATTGTATAATAATAATAGAATAAGATAGAAGAGTAATGGAGCATAGATAAAAAAGAAATATAATTCGAAAAACTAATTCGTTTTCGTATAGATTGTTGACTTATCTATGAAGGAATTTAATAACATGTCATCAATCTCATAGGAAGATGTGACTTGTTTCTATTCATTAATTTTGAGTGAAACAAAGTGATCGAATATTGACTTTGTTTCTTTCGTAATCAATCGATGAGGGCTCAAGTGTCGGGAGCTCAACTGTTGGGGCTCAACTGTCGAGTGCTCAACTGTCGGTGTACCCCATTCGACGACACCATCGACTATTAGTTTGTCATTGTGATCATTTTTATTTTACTATCAGAATATATCGAATTTGTTTCTTCAGAAAAAAAAAACTTACGTGTTTAGAATGGAAGAGAAATTCTAGACAAAAATATACAAGACGTTCTTTTTCATTCTATACATTCACAATACGTTTGAAAATAAAACTCGATTTCAGCGATTGCATGTGCCAATCGAACTTTGTTTGAACTGCTGGATCATTAATCACAATGCTTAAATGTGTGTACTCAACTGTGTTGGAATATGGCCTGTCCAATTATGACGAAATCACATTTTTTCACTTTGTATCACTAATATCTCAACGGAATGAAGTCGGATAAAGCTGAAATTTTTAGCTAATATTTAAGTCTAGTTGATCTATACATTATGAAAATTTCATTCAATTTGCAGCTTCATTTTTATAATTTTGATAATTGAAATATAGATCCATGACGGAATTACGACAATGGACATCGAGTTTGAAGC